ATATCGGCACTGCCACTACTGCCCACGCTGAGCTCTAGGCCCTTATGTATGGCCTAGATTTGGCTTGAAAGCACGATTGCAGGACTCTCCAGGTTGAGACGGACTCCTAGTTGGCGTTGCAGCTCATTAATTCGAGACATGATCCGATCCATCTTTATGCGACCCTGGTAGCAGCTATTCGCAGGAAGCTTAATCGTGACTGGTTGGTTCGCCTCACTCATACATATTGTGAAGGGAATATTGTCGCGAACTGGCTCTCGAAGCACAATCTCGTCTATCCCTACGGTATATATGAGTTGGCGAACCCACCCCTAAGTGTAGCTTCGATCCACCGAGACGATGTCATGGGTGTTACCAACCCTCGTTTGGTGGCAGCCCACTCTCCCTCCTCTATGTCTCCCCTATATCTTTCTTTTCTTGGCTCCGGCCTCCTGCTAATGCTAAAAAAAAAATACCAAGGTTACTGAATTAACTACCAGTAGAACCGTATATAATTGTGATTTTTAACTACCGAAGTTTTCCCAGTGGGGCCCAGGTTCGCGATAGCTACCGCTGTTGCAGTGGTCAAGTACTACCAACGGTGGGTAAAAGTGCAAGCTAAAAGTTAATTAGTTTTATATTTTGGTTAATTTGATAATAATAAATAATAGAATTTTGGAAAATAATTTGAATTTGAATTTTTAAAGATTTTTAGGCTGACGAGGCAATGACATGGCGTGTTGACTAAAGGTTAATGGTGTTGGTCGTCCAAATTGACGGTCAAACCATGTGTAGGGCCAATTGAGTCTATTTGTTGCATAGTTAAGGCCATGATGTTAATTTTTGAAACCACAGGTCAAAGTTGATTAAATGATCATAATTCGGGCCAAAATAAGGTATTAACTCCTAAAAGTAAGTACAAGAAGGATAGTTATAATTAATTATATATATATAACATCCGCCAGGTTACGAAAGCTTACTAAGTTCTAGCTTTGAATAATTAGTGTACAATAAACAATACATAGAGCTCTAACTAATGATCCTATCATTCTGGCGAAAAAGTCTTTTATTGTGAAAATGATAATTTCCTAGTAAAATGTTACTTTTGTTTCAAAAAATTCAAAATCAATTAGTTATCCAAAATTAACTAATAAAAATTAATTAAATGAATAGTAAAAAATTTAATCTTGAGCGCTAAGTGCGTAGTGTGTATTAATATGTCAGATTAAATTGCATACAATTTTCCCAAAAACTCACTAATCAGTTTATCTAATAAAGTAAAATAGGAAGCATAGTTACAAACCACTTGTATTTTCCTTCTCCCACTAATGAGCTATTTTCACTCTTTTGACTATTCTAGCAGGTATTTGTATCATGGTCACCATTGGTTACTATAGTATAAGGTGGTATGATTGCTGCCATAAAAACTTCTGAAAATTAGTATATATAAACGTAAAGTTCAGTTACTATTGCATAATAATTTGCATTTTGAAACTTCAAATTTAATTAAATCACAACTTAGTCACTATAATGTACATTTTATATTTTGATACTCCAAATTTAATTTTAATGTAAAATCATTGAACAATTATGTTTTGGTATCTAAATTATATGAGATTTTTGTACCTACAGTTTTTTAAATTTACGTATTGGTCCAATGTTTTGATTACACTTGAATCCATTTGACCAATCCTTTTGAATCAATCAACCATAACATATTTAGTTTGTAAAATACAAGATGTATCACTCAACTGGAGGAGAAGATTCGACCATTTTATACTTGCTCATTAAGTGAAACATTAAATAAATAATAAAAGAGAGACGACTCTAAAATATTACAAGAGTGAATTTATAAACTCATTCAGTACATTTACGGGCTGCTAAATAAACTTCTACTAACTACATGTAACAAAATATGCGACATCTATAAGCAAGTGTCAATAAATCGCTATGGTGAAAGGGGTTGACTGTTGTATTGGTGGCCAACTAAAAGAATTGGTCAAAACATTTCATCATCTACTTCCTTTTTGTTTCATTTTCCACTCGCCTTCCATAACCCTTTCTTTATTTCTTTCTTTGCTTTCTTCGTCTAACCCTAATTAGTATACTATTTTTGTGTATTTTAATCACAAGTATGAACGAGTCCACACACGGCTCACCAACAATCTAGAGAATTAATAATAGAACCATGAACCACTAACTTTTTCAGATCAATGTTGAGTTCAATGAAAAATAAATCTATGGTTATTACTTATTAGAAAGTTGTCATTTTCCACTATGCGATTTCAACTGTGCGATTTCAAGGCCTGAAATTTTAAGCGAGTTCCTGTTTGTATTCATTTTGCTTCTCCCTAGAGTTTTTCCTTTTCACCCGGACTAGAAGTTTCAACAATTATATATACATGGAATGTTTGGCTAGGTATCTACACATATCAAATAAATATTTTCCATTTTTCTATAAAAAGGTAAATAATTATCATCTTAAATAGATCACGATAAAAGGAATTAAGACTCAAAATTACAGTTCGATACCTAAACTTAATAGATCTTTAGATTTATAACCGAATTTTTTCGGCATATAAGTCCTCAAAATATTGACGGAACATTATATTTTAGTACTTAAAATCTTTGTGTATTACATTTCGGTACCTAAACTTTTGAAGTTCTACAAATAGGTCTAATTTTTTTTATGTGTAATTAAAACACCCTCGAATAAATCGGTATCCATACACAACTCATAAACATTTAGATTATGGATGTAAATATCCATACCCTACCCAAACCCATCTACAAACTTTCAAACCCATATATACGTTACCTATGCCTTACCCATAATCAATGGGTCTACTTGCGTTTTAGTAAATATCATGTACTAGCCAAAATTTTCAAAAAAAATTAAATTGGATGTTGACCGCCATATATTCCTTTTCAGTTAATATCATATTGTCAAGTCAATATTACCAACAAAATCAGTAACAAAAAATTAATTTTAGGCTAATAATACTAATAAAACACCATAAGAGACTACATAATACATGTCCATAGGTCATCTCTGCCCCGCGACAAGGCGCGGTATCACCACCTAGTCTATATATAAAGAATATACATTAACTTTCAATAACACGAGCTGTTAGAAGTAACTAGTTCCTGACCGTTTAAAAGCAATGCTTTTCAGCTTATCGTCAATTACCATTGAATGAAAAGAGTCAAAAACTTAAGATTTGGACAGTGAAAGCCTGACATGAGTGATTGAGTACATGAAAGCTACATGTGATGTTATTTTCTATCCGTTATTCAGACATTCACCCGATTCCCGAAAGAAATGAAGAATGATCTTCTCCCGTTCGCTTAACAAGATATCGGTGATTAAATACACCAAGGCCGGACGGAGAGACAAATGAATGTAGGGATTTAGACAGATACTACCCATCTCCCATTTCATGCACTTACCGCTCAATAATCCACATCAGTAGTCAATGAACACAAAAAGATGGACACAGATGTGGCCACCAAAACCGTTGCCATTTGCTCGGGTTGGACAACGGCACAGTAGTAGAGTCCACATAATATATATAAAATAATAATAAAGTGTGTTAATTATGATCGTCCGCACGACTCTGATTAAATGACGACGTACGGCTGCCTGCTTTGGGTTTCTGACTGTGAAGACTCAAGGGAACGGAGGTGGAGATGGAAGCCGAAGAATTAGGTGAGGGGTACTGCAGGGTTGTGTGTGTTTCCCTTTCTCTGGTCTGTTATTTGGTGTAGGGTGAAGGGTCAAGACGTCGAGTACTTCCATAAGATAAGATAGGGCGGCTGGTAATGGGCTTTTCCCCTAAGATAGCGCTGCTCTAATGAAGTGACGTAACAACGATTCATATCATAATAATGCTGGCTTTTGACCTTTCGTGACCACATATCATAACAACGACAACGAGTCGCAACATCTTGCAAACATTTTTTTTTAATAGCAGGATATTTATCTTTAGGGGTGAGCAACGATCGAGTCTACACTGAATTGAATTGGCGCGAATCGAATCATAAACAATATATTTGAATTATGCTTCAATCTCATAAATTATTTTAAGTATGACTGAATTGAATTGGCGCGAATCGAATCACAAACAATATATTTGGATTATGCTTCAATCTCATAAATTATTTTAAGTATGACGAAAAAATGGATCAAAATTGAATTTGGATCGAACCAAATCAAACCAACAAGCTTTGTGTCCGATTCAAGTTCATATTTTTCCTGTGATTTTTTTATCTAATCTTATTTCATTTCAATTCAGTACATTCAAAAGAACTGCGCCCGCATTTTTGTTGCCAAAGATATTTCGAACCGTAATAAGCCAGATACGAATTAGTACATTAGCGAACCCGGCCTAATTAAAAAATTAGTACGCGCTGGTCAAAAGATATTGAACCAAGGAAGAGAGGGCCTTTTTTGCCACGATATTGACAACCCTTGGCACCTTAACGACATGGGCAATATCAGGATTCTTCCTGAAAAGGTTCAAAATCACGGAAAAATTCGGAAAGTACACATGTTTTTAAATTAAATTCCCAAAACACACATGTTTTATGAAATATTCACAATCTACACATGTTTGGGCAAAACCGCGTCCGTCAAACGTGGTGAACAGTATCACCGCGACTGTAAAAGAAAAATGAACGTTTCACCGTGGGAACCGGAAGCGATGAGTATTTTCTGGCCATTTACCGCTAGTGTTCCAAGCGGTGATGGCCAAATTATTTAATTAGCCAATTTTCTTTTCGACTAGCAAAGCCCACATCATTCCAGACGACAGCGCTTCAGTCTTCTTATTTCCCTGAGAGACTCTACTAGGAAACGAAGGTCGGCTTCGGTTCTTCTCCTCCCGCTCTCTACTGTTGATAGCCCCGCCGGTGCAAAACTATTCAAACTGAGCAATAGGCGATTCAGGTCGGTGAAGCGGTGATAAATTTCACACAAGCATTAAGAAATCAGGTTCAACCTCGACCTAGAAGACTCTGACATGCCGGATTCTTCTCGGCGAACTTCGACTCCCAAAGAGAATGTCCAGTGGATCTCGCTCCAGAAGCATCTCGTCTTCACTTTTGCCATCGCCGAGTTCAAAGGTACCGTTGCTGCTGATGTACGGCGTCGAGGATTGTCCTCACTGGATGCCTTTTGGGCCAAATAATTTTTTAACCCAACTACTTTTGGTCGAAAAGAAAATGAGCTAATTGAATAATTAGGCCATCACCGCGTGGGACACCAGCGCTGAATGGCCAGAAAATATTCATCTCTTTCAATTTCCGCGATGAAGCGTTCATCGCTTTTGACTGTCGCAGTGATATTGTTCACCGCGTTTGACGGATGCGATTTTGTCAAAAAAATGTGTAGATTGAGAATATTTCATTAAACGTGTGTATTTAGGGAATTTTTAAAAAAAATGTGTGTACTTTGAGATTTTTTTCCCAAAATCATGAACTAACCATGCTGGAAATTGAGGTAGAGAAGCAAACCCTTATAGATCTCAAAGTAATGCGGCACAAAGCCTGTAAAAGCCTTCGTCGGATGTACAACTAGAACTTCAAAATAAAATAAAAAATGAAAGGAAAAAGCCAACCAGACCCATGTGACCTCTAACCTTTGCTGTTGACACTAATACTTGACTGAAATTCTTCCCATTGCCACAAGTGCCAGGCTGCCTTTAGGCTTCAGCGTACCAATGAACCACATGTCTTCCAATCACTTGAGGAATTCTGAATAGGGATGACCGCCCTCATCCACCACCTTTTTGGCATCTGACCCTACAAAACAAACGAATCAAAAGAACCAAAATGCAGTGGAGGCATTGTTGGGTGCACCAAGAGCAGCAGTAGTGCTCTGGAGCCGGCCAGTTGCACTAATGTTGAAACGGAATCAACTTCAGCTGTTTCTAATCATCTCTAACCAATCTACATTCACAAAAGATAGGTTAATTAGTGACAACATTCTGTTGGCACATGAGATGATTAAGTGGTACAATAGGAACTAGGTCTCCCCTATGTGTGCTTTAAAAGTGGAGTTATGAAAGCTTTTGACAGTGTCAATTGGAAATTTTTGTTTAATACCCTTGAGGCAATGGGTTGTCCTCTGGTGTTCATAGGTTCGATGAGTTGACTGTCAACTGCTAGTTTTAGGGTCTGCTTAAATGGTGGGTTAACTAAAGGTTTCTGTTTAAGAAAAGGGTTGAGCCAGGGGGGTCTTATCGCCTTACTTATTCACATTCTTCATGGAGGTTTCCTGCATGCTGAACAGGGCAGGGTGATTGGGGCTTTCCCCTGGTATCTACAGAGTAAGAGGGCGGGGTTTACTCACCTTGCCTTTGTTGACGATCTCTTGATTTTTACTACGGGTACGGTTAAAGGCATACTTTAGCAGCTGAAATCCTTCAACAGTTCTATTTGGTATCGAGTTTGAAGTGTAGTTCAGGGAATAGTGGGCTATTTTGTGCAAGGGTGGATGATGGGGTTAAGATTGAACTCATAAGAAAATATAGTTTAAGAGAATGAGTGTTACCAGTCAGATACTTAGTGATTCCACTTATTGTTGGAAAGTTAAATTCAAAGAAGTGTAATGCCCTAGTGGAAATAATTACTAAGAGGATTGCACGTTTGAAAGAATCTTTATTATCATATGCTAGTAGGATTCAACTTGCGATATCTGTCTTGGCAAGCATTACACAATATTGGATGGGGATATTTCAACTCACTGGAACTATCATCAAAGATGTTGAGAAGCTGTGTTCTAATTTTCTCTGGTCAGTTGGTGAGCATAAGAAAAACGTTAAGGGAATTTGGCAGCATGTAGCTTTACCAAATGAAGAGGGTAGTCTGGGGTTTAAGGACTTGAAGAGTTAGGACCTGGATTGTGTGATAAGGAATATTTTGTCTAATCTAGCAGACAAGCAGGGATAAAGTGGATTTGGAATAAAGTGTTGACGACTATACCCTTATGCCCTGTTCACGTCCCATTTCATATTCTGTTTTTTGTTTAAAAAATAAAAAACAAGAAACAAATAACAAAAAACGGGTTCACTTTCCATTTCGTTTTCGTTGGAAAAAACCAATTGTTACAAATGGGAAAGCTATGGATAAACAATAAAACCTGGTTTTCTATAAACTTTGTGACGGGTTATCCCCCGTTTCCCAGCGGAAATCGCTCAAATCTTTAATTCGAAACCCGGGTTCGAATCACCGTGGCCACATTTTCCCCCCTTTTTCCTCAGTCATCAATACGTCGCCGTTTTAGTGAGCTCTTTCACCCACCATAACTCTAGAGCAACGGAATTTCGACCTGGACTCCTCCCATTAGCAGCGCAGCCAGCCGAGCTCTCCCTCTCCCATCTTCTTCCTCCGGCCGCCCCATCTTCTTCCTCCTCAAGCCCTGCGCCGCCGGCCCCCTCATCTTCTTCCTTCGCCAGGCCCGCATCGCCGGCCGCCCCATCTTCTTCCTCCGCCAGCCCCGCGCCGCCAAACCCACGTTCGAGGTCCTCTTCCTCTCCCTCGCCAGCCCCGCGTCGCCATCACGGAAACGAGAAGACACATTCCAACAGCACCCAAGGAGCTTTCCCCTTCTTGATTCCTCCTCCAGCAGAGAAGCTCCAGCCGCACCTCTGTCTGCTGTCGACCCATTCCAGGTAATTACTCTCCTGCCATGCGACCCGATTAATGCTTTGTGCTGGTTTGGTGAATTGGACTGGTTTGGTCAATGATTTGTACTGGTTTGATGAACAGGCCATTAACATCTCTTCCAAATTTTAGTATTTTAGAGTGTTATGCTTTCCGTCCACAGGCCACACGTTCACAGGCCACACGTGTAAGGGGGATTGTTGAAAGATCTAGCTAATTTCAAGTTTTTTCTGTCCTGCGTTCTGTCATGCAAACTCTCTTTGGATGAGTTTATGGATTATGCCATGCAATAAGTGGTTGTAGTTGATCACTGAGTTCTTATTTCATGCTTCTCTGTTTGTGCAGCTGAACTTTATGCAGTTGCCTGCAGCCCAACAGATCCTTTGCTGGTAGCAACTAAACAGAACATAATTAATTTTTTCCAAGTTCGTATAACAAAACATAACTGAGAGAACGGACGAGACTTTCCCTTGAGTTGTATGATAATCAAGAATCAGAAAACAGAATGAAGCAACTAAACAGGTTTTCAGTTCTGAACTCAGTTTCAGAACTCACCAAAATTCTCAGCTAAACAAGGTTTTTCCAGGTTTTGTTTTCCAGGAAATGACAGTTTCGTTTTCATTTTAATTTTGTTTTCTGTTGTGGCAGCTAACAGAAATGGAATGGCAAGTAAACGGCACATTAGTTGCTGACAATTTCCAAATTACTTCAACTTGAGTAACCTGACAGGGAGTCCTGATGTAGAAATATCATGTTAGCAAAATATGGGACAACATTAGACCAAAGTGCCCCACTGTAGCCTGGTTTGAGTTAGTTTGGCAACCTTTCTCCATCCTTAAAACTCCATGATCTCATCGTTGATACAACATAATAAAATCAATGCATTGGATAATGTCTTAAAATGGAAACCTGAGATTAACACTACCTGTCCTCTCTGTCTCTCTGAGTCAGAATTTGGAGAATATATATACTTTCACTGTGTGTTTGTCTATGAAGTGGTTGCTATCTATTTCCTCGGTAGCTGGAATTGTCACCCTGCAACTGGTTGCGAAGAAGGCTTGTTGGCTGCAGTTTCATGGTTTAAGCATTGTAAGGTAGAGAGGCTAGTGTGGAACTTAGTGCATGGTTAGTGAAGTATGGAGGGAGCATTATCGAAGGCTTCGTGGCCGTCAACAATTGAAGGTTGGTGAACTGTGCATATAATGCAGTAAGTGCTTGAATGGAAGCTTGTTGGAGATCCCAAATTGGTTCAGGCCACAACTCAAAAGCAGCTTTGGTTTCAGATATAGTTATCTATGTTTTTTTACAACTGTGCTAATATGGATGTTAGTTTATGAATTACAGTTAGTTTTTGTTATTGTTGAGGTCACCATTTGATAGTTTCATGATGTATGTATGTTGTATAAGGGTAACAATCTGGTTTGTTGTATTGTTTTCCCTAGGTTGAGCTCTTTAATAAAATAAAATTTGCTTTTCATATAAAATTTGATCTTAAATCTTTAAAATCTTTTGATTTTCAAGAATTCGAATGATATGAATGTCAGTATTAAATTGATTGAATGTGGATCAAATTGAACTGAGTTAAAGGGATAGATCAAATTTTTGGGTTAGTTAACGCCTTTTTTACTTCTCATACATCGACATCATCTAGTTTTTTCTCAATATATTAAATACCCATTTCTACCATCTAAGAAAATACCAAGGCCTATCCTATTCAAGATGAATAAAATGTTAAAATTTATCTATACTGAAGAAAATACTAGCACACCACATAGAAGAGCTGATAACCCATAATAATTTATATTGTCCGAGTACTTGTAAGTAATACTCTTCCTATAGAAACTTTGTTGTTGCGAGTAACTACTCTATAAGTTTACATGTAAGTTAGTTGGGTTGCATTTGTGTTGAATTAAAATAATACTCTTGAGAAATTAATTATTTTAAGTGTTGTGTTTCTTTGTGATTTATCTTATTAATATTATTTGATGTTTGTTTCTATATGGACCATAAAATTCTATGATTTTACAATTTGATTTTACATAAAATCTTGATTTTTAATGCTTTGACAGCGATCTCAAGGCTACATACCTCTTGCTAGTCAGGTGGATGCTTAGCAGGCTTCCCTTCTAGATTGTATGCTACCTCAATCAATTGCTCTTCGCAAGCTTTTTTACTCCTTTATAAAGTATTGACGTATCTCCTAAGCTTCACAGTTGAGTTCAAAACTTAGATGCCTGGTTGTGGAGGGGGTGGCTCCTACTGTGGTGTGGTCAAAAGCCTTCCTCTGATTTAGCTCCTTTTGGTTAGGAGGTTGTTTGCTTCGTGGATTTGAAAAATGAAGATTTTGGTAAATTTTGGGTTTTGTAAAACCATGGATATATGAGGGTTTTGGGTTCATCATGGACTTGAAAAATACCATTGTTTGTTTCATAGATTTCATGATGGAATTGGTTAATTAGATTTATACATATGAAGTGAAATTTACCTTTATTGCCCTCATTGGTATGAGAAGAGAAATGAAATAGGAGGGGTAGTTTGGTCTTAAATGATTGACTTCAAAGTCCATGATCAATGCCCTCCTAAATTGTGAAACTTTGAAGTCTGTGGGATCCACAAATTTGGACCCTTAAAATTTGTGGGACCCACGAATTTGTTGCCCCTTTAATCATCGAGCAAACAATGGATTTTGGACATTATGGCTCATTTCGGGGTATCCAAGACTTTGGATTGCCTCTAGAACACTTCTACTGCCCACACATGAGAAGTGATATGGAGAAGGTGTGTGCACGATGTCTTAAGTGTCGCCGAGCCAAGTGAAGAGTTCAGCCAAACAGGTTAAATATACCTCTCCCTATTCCTACTGCTCCTTAGATTGATATTTCTATGGATTTCCTTGTTGGATTTCCTAGGACGTCCTAGGAATTGTAGAGATTCTATGTTTGTTGTGGTTGACCGGTTTTCAAAGATGGTGCACTTTATCCGATGTCACAAAACTGATGATGCATCTAATGTAACTGAACTGTTCTTTTGAGAAATTTTTAGGTTGCATGGTATGCCTCGGACTATAGTCTCTGATCGTGATGTGAAGTTCTTGAGTTACTACTGGAAAACTCTATGGAGTAAGCTTGGAACTAAGTTTTTGTTTTCTACTACTTGCCATCCTCAAAAGGATAGTCAAACTAAAGTAGTTAATACGACTTTGTCTCAAATGCTTAGGGTTGTCATTAAGAGTAATATCAAGTTTTGGGAATAATGTTTACCTCATGTAGAGTTTTCATATAATAGGTTTGTCCATTCTACCATTAAGTTTTCACCCTTTGAGATTGTGTATGGATTTAATCCTTTAACCCCATTAGATTTCTCTCCATTACCTGTCAAAGAGCGTGTGAATTTAGATGGTGCGAAGAAAGCAGAGTTTGTTCGAGGTTCGCATGAGAAAGCACGGGTGAACATAGAGAGACGGACGAAGCAGATTTTGAAGAACGTGAACAAGCATCGGCTTCCTCGACAATTTGAGCCAGGAGATTGGGTCTGGGTGCACATGAGGAAGGAAATTTCCCCCCATCAACAACGTTCCAAGTTGCTGCCTCGTGGCGATGGTCCCTTTCAAGTCCTCGCCCGCATCAATGATAATGCCTACAAGATTGATATGCCAGGCGAGTATCGTGTGAGTGCTACGTTCAATGTTGATAACTTAGCCCCTTTCCTTGAAGAAGAATCAGATTTGAGGGAAAATCCTTTTCAAGTGGATTGAAATAATGAGGGCATCAGCAACAAGGCAATCTCAAGTCCAACTCTTGTGCGAGAGGAACGTGGTCCAGTCACTAGAAGTCAAGCCAAGGAATTCAAGGGTCGACTTCAACCTTTTTTGGCCCATACCGACACCAAAATGGAGGTTGACTTGTTCGTCGGACGAGAAATGATGATCATAGGCGGTGGGGCTACTTCAGGCTAATTCCCCGGCCATGAAAGTGCAAAACCCGATTGGGTAAATGACGAGGAGACCAGGGATAGTGTCCAAGGATTTTCCTCGGCCTTGAAGACCAATTCCCCGATCAGGGATTTGTAAAGGAGCTCGGGTTATTCAACCCTAGATGATGTCGACGACTTTTATGTTTCCTTTGCGGATTATGTGACTTTTAGACCCAAACTCGGGTTTCCTTGTTATTTTTATCCCAAACCCTTTGTAGCCAATATAAGGAGCTGAACTAAGTCTTTTAGAGGGTAATCAAAAATTTTATTCAGAAATACAAATCCTATAATTGGTTGTTCAAACATCAACTTCTCTTGTTCTTCTTTCTTGATTGTGGAATCGATTCAGCAAGAGGAAACCAACATTTTCTACTAGATCATCACCCTAGCGGAATAGTCCTTCATATATCTGGCCCTCTTCCCGATGTGTGGATCAGGTTTGGTTTGTTATCCATTTGTGATCGTTGTGCTTCTAATCGATCTTTGTTGTGTTTTTGATTGTTTAAGCCTAGGAGTTAGAGCATCAGCTTATATCATTTTGTTTAAGGATGGTCAAGTCAAAGTTGATTTCTGAGTCATCATCATCAATCAAAGGTGGTAGGAGGGCAAACCATCCCTACCTTGAATTTTGGGATAAATACAAGGCAGAATAGACGCACTTTACTTCCCGAACCTATGGAGAACATCGTTGCATCTCTTGTAGAATTGGGAGACTCTTGGGGCCGCCGCAACCATTCGACTCTAATTCAAGACCCGACATAGCTCAATTCAACCCATAATTTCACTTATACATAAAATTTATAGTTCAACTAAATTGATTGTAATTGTGCCTCATGATGTCTCTTCCCCACTCTTTTACACTCACATTAAAATCTAGAAAACATCATCTATTTAATGTCCTCAACTTTAATGTTAAAAATCGCTACATGACATGGATTACGTACAAAAAGCTTCCTTTTACTTACATACTTCAAGTTTTCCTAAGACTATCATATTGTTTTCCGACGAGCAAACTTTCGTTGAAATTGAATTGATTGCACCTTGATTTCTTTGGTCAACAATTAACTTAACACAATTCACACCTCTTCATACAAAAATCGAACGAGGGTGATGTTTACACGAATCATGAGATAGATCTACATTAAGTTACTCAACTCCTATGGAGGTTCAGTGAGAGCTCCAAATCTACGACTACAGCTACAATTGCAGAGGAAAGGATAAAAGGATAAAATTTGACATTGAGTTGTCTGGTGTGAATTTGGCGAACCCTTTCTCTGTCAAATCCTCCTCCTATTTATAGCCTTGAAGTGGTAAACATCGTAGAAAAACCTTCTAAGAGTAACTTACAAAAAGAAAAGCTCCCCTTCTTTCTCGGATGTGGCTGGCGTGCCTTTGAACGTGGGATAAACGACAGTTTCCTGTTAACTGCCTACTCTCTCTCTTGGAACTGGCATCTTTTTACTTGCCTCCCTTTTACCAATGGCCATTCCATATCTCAAGTCGAGGGCCTTCTACATCTCACGACCGACATGGTGTCTAAATCTCGCGACCACTCTGGTCTACCTGACTTGACGCCAACATGATTTAGATCTCGCGACCACCTTTGTCTACTAAACTTGATGCCAACGTGGTCTAAATCTCACGACCACCTTGGACCACCCAACTCACAACAAGCCTGGTCTAGTAGACTCGCGACGAGATTAGTTCCTTCCCGGAAACTTAGTGATTTGGGCTTAAAAATCTAGTACCATAAGGCCCAACTTAAATAACACTAATTGTAATTATTGATCTGGCCTTATAAAGACAATAAATGTCTTGTGAATAAACAATGTGGTATAAAGCAAATTTAGGTGTAAACAAATGCCCCCAACTACTTAGTGCATAATAATTATGGACTAAGTAGTTGAACACCAACCAGCCACAATACTAGGTTGGCTTATAGTTAAAGCACAATCGTTTGATTTATAATTTGCTAAATTTTGGCTATCATTTCAAGCCAACACGGCGAGATGGAATTCGCCGTCAAAACTGGTCACATGCCTTAGCCAAATTTGGGACATCATGTCAAACCAACATGGCGAGATGAAACTTGACATCAAGGATTATTTCATGCATTAACCAAATTTTGGCTCTCAATGATCGAGCCAACATGCCCGGATGGAACTCGCCGTCAAAGCTTGTCCAATGCCTTAGCCAAAATTTGGCTTTCAATAAAATAAATATGTCATCTCTCACTCAAACCCTGTTCAATTTGACTCAAAACCTTCATTGCCATCTAGTACTTGAACACATGGTTGACAAGTAACTTAGAATTTTTTGCACAAATTT